TCCAGCGCACCAGCCTCCACCATCACTAACCTTTCTCACACCGCTCTCACCCATCTATCCCAAATCTCTCTCACATTCTCACATCCCTTCCACCAACCAGGACACGCAGACGACACTCGGGGCTGGTTTATGTTCCTGCGGTGGACGGCAGCTATTGCATAAATCTGCTGCGGGCGGCGGACGGCTAACGACTGCCACTCCTCGTCACCATAACGTCCGCAGGTTGGAACGTCCTGCCACGGGGATAGAACGGCGGACGTGGCAATACGTCCGGAGAACGTAGAGGGACGTGGCGTGCCGTGCCGTGACTGAGACCAACACGGTCGCCGACTCTGTCCGATTGTCCACCCGTCCGTCCGTCCGTTCGTTTGTGTCCGCCTGACCCGCTGTCGCAGTGTTGTCACCCGTCCCGGTGCGGCCAACTCAGCGGATACACAGTACAAAAAGCGGCAGCGCCGCGCCGCACCGGTCGGTCGGGTCAGGGCCAGCGCAGGGTTCCAGTCAGTTGGAACACAAAGGGCAGGGAGGGGAGGACGCACCGCAGCGGTAGACGCAGAGAGGGACCGACGGACGGACGGGGTCAGTTGCTACCCGGCCCAGGACCGCCCTAAAGTCGACCAAACGAGCCAGCGAGCGGGGTAGGGGCGACACGCCAGCCTGACCTGTATGGACACGGCTTCCTTCTATATTTGTACTTTCAAGGTCCATGGCACGACCCAAATCACCATATTCATCGAGAAACCCGACGTCAGCAACTATGCGAGCAAATTATTACATAAGAAGCCTCCGCATTGCGAAAGGAAGAACCAACATTTTAATAGCAGTTTTCACGGGTTAGGCCACTTTGACAAGACGGGCTGCGGGTAGCCCTGGCAGCTTCTCACAGCGCGCGCGGGCGACGGACCCCGATTGCCGAGCGGCGGCGCGGGCGCGCTGGCGGCGGGCCAGTCCCGGCCGACTGTCAGCCGCTGGCAGGTGCCAGGTCAGGTGACACTGACAGGTGAGACCGGTGCCGCTCACAGCGCTCACAGACACGTGAGCCGACCGCCGCTGCTGGGACGGGCTCCGGCCGGAAACCGCGCGGCCCCCAGACCCTCCACCTGGCCGCTGGGGTCCGGGACTGAACTCCTCACCCCAGTCGCCCAGCTCCGGAGCGGCGCCCTCCGTCCTCCAACGGTCCCCACCGCGCACACGGCGCCGGGACAAACAATGGCGCACTGTGGCGTGCTGCACCGCAATGTGGCGCGCCTCAGGGCGGGCCGAGAGCGTTTCCTCCTCGCGCTCGGCGCGCTGCTGGGGTGCGCGCCGGGCCGCTGAGGGGAGCGGGCCGTCAGCCCGTCACGCAGAGGGTCTCCGCGGTGCCCGGGTGGGGCGGCGGCCCGCCTCCCGCCGGCGAACGGGAACCGCTCCGTGTGACGGCCGGCCGCGGTGAAAGCGGCGCGCCGGCCCCTCCGCGCCGGCCGGCAGCACCTTATCGGGCGCCGCCGCCGCCGCCGCCGCCGCACTCACGGCTTTGTTGCAGGAAGGTCGTTACACCGGGACCGCCGTCGCGGGCGGACAGTGCACCCAGCCGGCAGACGAAAAAACGCAGCCGAACACCGTGCGGTCCACCCGCGTCAATATCGGGCCCACTCGCGGACACGTGAAGCACCGCGGCTTGGCGGCAGCCGGCTGTCATGGGCCACCCGCTCTGGCCCGCAGGCTGGCCTACATAGGAGACAAGTCACGGCAGAAGGCCGCCGCCGCGCCGCCGGCCGGCGGCGGGCGGAGTCGGCCCACAGCGCTGTGCAACGAAGCAAGGCGACCCGGCAGGATAAGCGCGGCGACGAACAAGAACTCGTCCAACGCCGCTCCGTCGCCAACAGATGCCGCTTTGTAACAGAATCAACAGGATGAGATATTTACTTGGCGGAAAATAGGCACGCATTCCCCGATCTGCATCGGCTGCAAAGCGCACCGCCTGTGTGGACGAGCAGCTGTTGCATTCGGTCGATCTTTATCGCTATGCTCTGGTTACGGTTTTTATCTACACATAACGGAATCGCGTTGACAGCGCACCGGTTGACGGCCGTGGACACAAGGCACTCGGGCTGTTGTTCGCTACATTCACAACACAACCCAGATCGGAAATATCGGATGCGGTCGACCTGTTGGCATTGCTACCAGCGACATACAAACCAACAAAGGGCAGGCCGTCAGCTGGCCGTCTGCCGACCGCCTGTGCTGCTTGGGTCCATGCAGCTCCAAGGCCTCGCACGTCCGCCTGCACTCCCCCACAAGGGAGGTCGGGCTGCACCACCGCCACCGCTGTGGGACGAACGCAGCTGCTGTGCCATGTTTGGCAACATACCGGTTCAAAGTATACAAGCCAGGAGCACGATCGGTGTTCAGCGAAGGCCGGCGATCCTTGGCAGTTTCCTGCGGTCCACAATGATTTAGACAGTCTCAATACACCTACAACTAAGGATTTCATATGACTATTCATACTGGCTATGGAACCGTCTCCAAGTGGTCTCCAGTTGCCCTCAGTTGTCCCTCCGTGGCCCTCAGCGGTCCCCAGAAATCTCCAAGCAGTCTCCATCCCTTCCCAGTAGTCGCTGTCTCCGTCACTGGTTCCTTGCGGTTTCCTGACGGTTACCAGCACTCCCAACGGTCCCGCCCGTCCCCGTCGGTCCGGTCTGGTCCGGTCCGAGCGGTCCGGTGCAGCGCCCGTCCGTGTCACACGGTCCGCTACTTCCAGCGGTTCATGAGCGGTCCCCGTCCGCCGCCCGGCCGGCCGCCGCGCCGCCCCGCTCAGCTGAGAGACCTTGAGCCGGCCGGGCGGCGCAGCGGGCCCGGGGAGCCGGCGGGCGCTCAATGCCCCCTCCCCACGCGGCCGAGTGGCCACCGGCAGAGCGGCAGCTGCAGGAGGCCGGCCGGCGCCCAGGCAGGTGGGCGACCCTCCCATGCTGTCGTTTTCCGGGATAAGCGGCTGAGTATCTGCAGTTGGAGCACACCTCGCCGTCAGAGCGAAGTCGAGTCGGTCAGCTCAGTTGCGCCGCCGCCGTCACGGCAGGCAAAGCTGGGCCACACATGCGGCCTCCCGGCGGCCGGCCGGCGATCCTAACGCGCAGTCCGTGCGTCTGGCACCTCACATGGTCAGTCCAAGGCCGTCGCGCCACCCGCTCGGCTTTGGTCATCGATGTCTGGAGATCCTACCCCGTCCCCCGGCCCCCAAAACCCGCCCACTGGACAGTGTCACTGGCTCGCCGCTGGACGTCGATGACAGACGGATATGCCGTGTATCTGTCCGATCAGCCACCCGCTGAAGGCTACTGTCCCCCGACCGCAGCGGAAGCTCAAGAATACCGGCCGGATCCAGAGGTATCGGACCGATTCGCAGAGGCTTTCCACCTTGATCGCCGGCGGCTCAAGTGATGGGAGTGATTTCAACTCGGAAGTCGCCGCCCGTGAGCAGGAGAAATGTCCATGGTCAGAGGCGGCGAGCGGGAGTGATTTCATGGGCCGCTCCGGGGCTCCGTGGTAGACAGGCAGATAAATAGGAGCGGCTCCCGCCCGGAAAACCACCGAACGGCGGCTATCAGAGCTAACGACTCAAACTTCTCTCCGAGCACCCGACTTTTCACAGACTACAGACCAGCTGCACTCGGTCTATCCCCCTCCCTACCCCACAGCGGACCGAACTATCCCCATTCACGGCACACCAGAGGCGAACGCTCAACAGGTCTCCTATCATCGACGCGGTTTCCGAGCGCCAGCGGCGGTAACGAGCACGCACGGCCGACCAACTTTTCCGACGGGCCGACGGGAAGGTGGGACGGTCCCCACCGCTCTGATGGGTCGGTGGGACGGCCCCTGAGCCTACACCCGTCGTCTGACGGGTCAGAAGGGCCTGCTGAGTGAGGCAGCATCCAGCACGCAGGCACCAGTCGCCCCGTGTCGGTCCCTATCAAGGCCACACCGTTAGCGGCGGTGGAGGGCGTACGGCGAGGGTCTGTCGGCATAGCTGTGCCACGCCGCCTCTCGGGACAGTTATTTAGCTAGTCAGGACAGTTAGGAGCGACCGAGAGCTGCCCTGCAGTAAGGTGCACGGATTGCAGAGCAGTGCAGCGACTGCAGGGGTGGTCTGTAAGCAGGCTGACCCTGAACGGGCGTCCGGACGGAGCAGGGAGAAGAGGAGATGTGTGGACCGTTCACAGTCGGGGGCGGCGGACCGGGCACACTCAGCTAAACACACTGTCAGTACGGGCTACATACAGCAGCGAGAAAATACACACAGGAAGGGACGCGACGGGGCTTAGAAGGGAGGGAAGCTCGGAACAATCGCAAAGTTCGAGCAGAGGCAATTGTGAACGTTGAGTAGGTACTGCCTACAATTATATAAGAGCGAAACTTAAAAAAAAAAAATAAAGAACCAACGTCAACTGGACGGAGAAACTATAACAATGCCGGAAGCAAAAAGTGCACACCAACAATCAAAGGAGCAAAAAGGGAGACAGAAACAGCGCATAAACAAACAATGCTAAATGCACCTCCAGGAAAGTAGAAAATAGGACGTGAATGTCACTGAACCGCAGGTAGAGCTCCGGTAAGACGGCACTGGTCGGTTATGCCACGGTAATGAAACTGCCCACGAAGCCCTCGAGTTCTAGGATGCTGAGTAGCGCCGAACACAAGTTGTTGCAACTCGCTACACTATCCGTGGACAGGATGCACCGATAAAACTCATCAGGCCACGGCCGGATACCGGCCAAGTACGGCTGGGAACGTCCAGACCACGGCCACAGCCCACGGCGGCCCCGCCGACCGGCAGATAAACAGTCGGCACGGGCGGCGTCAGGCACCGCACCCGGGGGAACAGCACGCCACGGCGCGGGTTCCGCAGAGGCGGCTCCAGGCGGCACACTCGGGGAGTTGAGACAGGCTGGCTGACCAGGGGCGCCTCCAGTGAGGTAACTCTCAGAGGCCGACGGGGGACAAGAGGGGGGGGGGGGACTCACCTGAGAAAGTGCCGCTGTAGACGCCCTTGCCGTGGTGGTGCATGCTCTCAATGATGGCGCCCGGGTGTGGCCGCAGGGGGGCGCTGCCAGAGGCGGAGCCAGCAGACGCCGACGGGGAGGACAGCAGCACGGACGGACCCTCCTGGCGGCAGAGAAAGGGGGAGGTCAAATACGATCACAAGACGGCGGGGACAGCAGAGCCAGCGTGGACACATGACTTATCAACCGACAAAACCTCTTAGAGAGAGGTCCTGATGACGAATAATATCGGAGACACATGTCAGAAAAGACATGTTCCGTGACGCCCACCCATCACCCAGCTTATAAACACTGCGTGTAACGCATCATGTGGTAGGGTCGCATTTGTAGCGTTCCATAAACCCAACTCTGGCCGTCTTGACTCGATGTCAGGCGTCAGCTGTGCAGCTATAGGTATGTGGCAAAGGGGCGACCCCCGGTTGTGGTTCCACTGCAGCGGGGGAACCTCTGGGCCTCCGTCGGTCGGTTGCATGACTGCCCTCAGCTGTGGGCAGCTCACGGAAGTGTCTCCCATTTTCCCCGTCTGAGTCCTACCTCCCCAGCGCGGCGGTGCGGCCGAGGGGGTCGGTTTCACCCCCCCCCCCTGGTCGAGGGCGTCGCGTGGGGTGAGGAGCCGGGTGCGGCAGCGGGGTGCGTGTGGGACGGTGTGCGTGGGGTGTAAGAGGACAGAGCTGCGATGACATCGTCCCGGGTGACGCGCGGCGGGAGGGCGCTCCAAAAAACTCAGCGCTGACTAACTACCACTGTCTGCAGGGGTGACGCTGCCCGTTCATGATACCCGATCACTCCCCTCAGCGCCCCCCCCCCCCCTCCCCAAACCACAGAGCGGCCCGTTCCGACACGTGCGGCCCCCCTCTGTGACGTCACACGCCGACAGGTGACGGCCGGCGGTTCTACCGCCCGCCGCCAGGGGCGCCAGTGTCGCCGATAGGCCGGCCGGCCGTGAGCTCTCCGCGCCGCAGCAGCAGCGGAAGCCCGCCAATAAAACGATTACTGACGGCGCCAATACCGCGCCGCGCCGGCCGCGGGCGCGCCAATACTGCCGCGGTCGCCTGCCGACAGAGAGCGGCCGTCGATAGCGGCTCGGACTCCTCCGACGGGCCATCGGCTGATCGCCAGTCGGACCGACGAGTCGAGGTCAGTTGGCGGCCGGCGCCGGCAGCGAGACGGCGGCGGCGGGCGCCCAGTCAGCTGATCGCGGCACCCGCGGCACGGCGGCGGCCGGTGGGACGGCTGATACCGGTCCCACTGGTACTCAGATACCACCGCTAGTCCGCCGCTGTCCGCTGACCCTGGTTCATAGCACTGATCGCCACAGACAAGCAGCGCTGTGCACTGCTACACAAACGACGCAGCGCGTCAGGGTAAAACCTCACACCACGCCACTCACGACCTCCCTCTGTGTCGAGGGGAGCTCTACCCAACCCCTGCCCACCCCTGAGCACCCTCCCTCTCCAGTACGTGCCCCGAGGCCCGTGCACTAGCGCAGCTCCCCAGTCACGCTCTCTGTGGCTGCCCCGTGCCCGTGCCCGTGCCGGCCGCCCCGTGCCCGTGCCGGCCGCCACCACCTCCGACCGGATGTGTCGGCCCCGTTTCACTCACAAGTCACAACACGCGCTCCACACGGACCGCAGAGCTGAGCGGGCTCGCGGCCCGCCGGTCGGTCGGCCGGTCGGTCTTCCAAATGGTCGGTACTTGGTGGGTCGGTCGTTCATGATGGCGATCGGTTAGTCTGTCGTTAGTTCGTTCGATCGTTCTTCAATTCGCTCGCTCGTTCGTTTTTCGTTCGGTCGGTCGCCCCCCCCCTCCCCACAATTTGTGCTGCTGTGGGCGCCGAACAGCGGCCGGGGCCCTCCACCGCCGGTCGGCAGGAGCGTCCGCTCCCACCAGATTCTCACGACAAATTCTCACAGGCTGGCGCCAGCTCACAGAGGCTCACAAAGGCTCGAACAGGGCAGTCCAATGCATCGGGCAAAGCGGGGAAGAATTAGGACAGGACGTCCTAGAAAAATGAACGATTTTTAATCCAACTGAGTCCGGCAAATTTCAGAAAACACAGATGATTAATTCTCAAAGTTGATACATAACTGTGATCCAACTCCCCACTCGTGTGGGTGCGGCTGGTAGCGCCCCAGGCCTGTCTCACAGTTCTCTGCCCCGGATCCTGCCTCGCCCCCCCCCCCCCCCCGTCTCAGTTACCCCCGTTACCAGGGCACCGGGTGCGATCACATCCGGCCACATGTGCGATCATGTGACGCGGTCACGGGCCGCGGCAGCCTGATCGCCGCGCGCCCGTCTCAGGTGGACCCATTTCTGAGCCAGCTGCCGGCGCCGCCGCGCTCGCTCAGGCCATCCGACGCCCCGCTCCACTGCAATTAGCCAAATTCGACAACAAAAGCGGCGTCGGCCGCTCATTCACGTGTGCCCAACCGAGCCGGCTGGACTAATTGCGGCAATTCTCATTTTTCCGGCGGCAGCGCGTCCCTCTCTCCCTCTCAGGCGGCCGACACGTGAGACGGCAGAGGCGAAGTCAGGATCCGCAGAATTCGTAATCGAGTCACCTGATCGGCGCTATTTATTAGCATGGAGTGGCTTGACCAGTTCTAAATTTGTGAGGTTTCTAGGGATTTACCGCTTTCTCTCAAGTGGACCGGTTTGGCAGCCATCTGTTGAACGCATAATTTATGAATCGTTCGCCTAATGGTCTACTGCCATTGTTCACCGGCAAATCGGGAGCTCTGTCGGTGCGCTCTCCGTCTCAGCGCGGACGGATTCCGCCGGCCCGCCAGTCGGCACGGTCCGCCTGAACGCGCCCCTGCGTGCGGAGCTCTGCGCGGTCCGCCTATCGCGGCCGGCCGGCCAGTGAAACGCCCCGCGCGGCGACCCACTGTAAAAAGCGGCCCGCGGTCGGCCCAGCCAGGTCGGGTGGCTCAGGCCGTCCGGCGCCGTGACACAGGCCGCCGCACGGTCTCACGACAGCGACCGCGACCGACGGCAGAGGAGCTGCCGCCTCGAGTCATCACTACCTCTTCCCCTCGACTGCTAGTGTGAGGCCCTTGGCCGGCTCTCGGTAGCTCCCTTCCCTCGCAGACGCTCGCACTAATGCTCGCCTGTGTGTCGCTATGCGCTGGTCCGACCAGCATTCTTCCCTCCTCTGCGAATTCTCGCTCGCTAAATACCCGTCCGCAGCCACGGGTTTAATCTCTTACGCCAGTGTCCCCCGCACCAAGTCTTTGTAATGGGTGCTCCGGTGTTGGTCTTCCCCACCCCACAGTCATCCGACCCTCCTGAGAGAAGTGCAGTCGTGCACCATTAGTGCTCCGGCAGTGCACGTTTGCTGTCGCAGGTTGCCCGCGTGGACAGGAATTGCCGAGCTGCCCCCGGGGTCACCGCTGTCCGTCGTGACAGTCCCAACCGCGGTCCCGACCGGTCCGACTCCTGAATCACTGGGTAGGGTCGGCAGGGTCTGTAGCGAGCGACTGCTGGGGGAGCCGTGAATCACCTCACCTCCAGCGGGGTCGGAACGGACCGGGGACAGGCCCCCGGCGTACTCCAGGACGGACCAGGGACGGACCAGGGACGGTTCCCGGACCCCGGTCCTCCGGTCCGAGCCGGCTGAATGAACCCGTCTCCTTGGTCCTCAGAGCCGCTGAGGGGTGTAAAACCGTCCGGGCATCGGCTCGAGGTCCCGGCGTGGGGACCCGCCACGTGAAATAATAGCGCGCGCGAGTCGGGTCGACAGACGGCGGGACACGGCGGTGTGGTGTCGCAAGGCCATCATAGCGCTGAGAAAGGCCAGCTGCCAGCGAAGGAAACGGCGATAAGAAGCCAATGCCCAGATGAGGGTTCTCACGAAATTAGGAGCCTATCTTCAATGGCGACGAGCGTGTGAATTAATCTTTGCCTTTTCAGGTTGTGAGTGTAGCGTTTTATACTGCCAACAAGGTGATAGTTTAACCCGCGAGTTGCTGGGGGGGGGGGGGGGGCGTTAAACGCCCCCACTTTTTCGCCGGGCCATAGCATAAAAATGGCGCGCCGCAGGCGCGCCAAATTTTGGGTACCTGTAGGAAATTGATTGAAGTTTATTTTGACAAAGTTTCAAAAAAATCGGTCGGAAAATTTTTGAGATATCGAGGTTTTAGTGACGTCATGATTTCTGAGTTTTCGACCAAAAACGGCATATGTTCAAAAAATCATACAAAATCACAGGATAGACACACAGACATGCCGTAAACGCCATTAGAATGCCAATACCATGAACAATCAAATGGCTATCTTCGATTATTGATTATAGTTCCGCATTTTCCAAAATCTTGAACTGAATCTTGACAATTTCTCGTGACTACTTCACGACCATGATACATGAATTTCTTAAATTGAACTTTTTGAGCCAAACACGTACCCATATGATAAAATGAATGTCACCATCGTGTTCTACGGCCCAAATTACTCATGAAAAATGTTTCATAGGCTGCAAATATCAGTTTTGATTTTCGGGGATATGTGCCTACCCGGTTGACCTGACCTTGACCCTGACCTATGCTTGACTGACCCCTACATGGAACTGACACTCTTGTAGGCCTTATATGATGGATTGTGCACCGTTTTGACAGAGTTTCTGACGAGAGGCGCCCATTGCGAAGTCCTGAAGTCCATGCTACTGAAAGCCCGATTTCAGGTGTTTGACCTGACCTTGACCCGACCTGTGACCTCAAAATTCAACTTTAAAGTACTCATCTGAAGCGTCTCGTCGCGTTCTTTCGTTTGCCGCCTCGTGCGTTTCGCTGCGCCTATTGGTTCTCGAGTTATCGGCTGGGGGCGTTTAACGCCCCCCCCCCCCCCCCAGCAAACGGTGGGTGGCGAAATACCCCAGCAACTGCCGGGTTAAGCCCTTTTCCTTCTTGATTCAATGCAGCCTATGCATCTGGTGTAGCATCCCTCCTCAAGTCCTCAGCCAGCGGCAGGTTCGCCCGCCGGCGGGACCGACTACCTCTGACGGTGCGCGCTCGCTACCCACCTGGTCCTTGGGGTCGGTGCCACCGGTCAGCACCTCCGAGGAGAGCTGTTTGAGGGTGCGCGTCAGGTTTCTGCTGGCCTCGGTCAGCGCCCGGGTGTCCAGCTGGCTGCGCAGACCCGCCGAGCTCTCCTCGTGGCCGCGCGGCCGCTGGTGCGGACACCGGCGCTGGCGGCGCTCCGCTGACGGCGCCGCCGCCGGCTCCGGCTGGGCGGGCAGCGCCGTCCGCGCCGCCGCCGCCGCCTGCGCTGCAGCCGCGGCCGGCGCGGGCGTGGCGGCCGGCGCGGCGGGGGAGGCGGCCGGGGTGCCGGCGGAGGGCGGCCGTCCGGCGGCGGCGGCAGCGGCGCCGGAGGCTGCGCTGGCCGCCCCCGCCGCCGCCGCGGCCGGCCGCAGGTTCCGCCGAGCGGCGACCTGGGCTGGGGAGAGCTGCAGCTGGATCAGCATCATGTGCTCGCCGAGCCGCACCGTCAGGTTCAGCGGCGCCTTGCCCGACAGAAACTCGGTCACCTGTAACGATAAAACACTGGGTCAGCCCAGCCCACAGAGCACACAGCGAGCATACCGACACACACCGCACACACGCGCCAGCGGCCGGCGCGCTGCCGGCGGCGAACAATGGCGCACCGGCGGCGGACGCGGCGCACCGGCGGCCCTGAGCGGCGCGGCGCAAACAGTCCGCCCGGCCGGCCGCCCCTGCAGCCTTGAGCCGGGAAGCGCGCCGCTGCATTCATGAGCTCAGCGCGGCCGGCCGGGCGGTGCGCCGCGCCACAGTACGGCTAGAATCAGCACACAGGCGCACCGCGCGGCAAATAGAAAGCGCCTGCCCGCCGCTTCTGCCGCCCGCCCGCTCACGGACACGCACAGATATTTCGGCCAGCGGAGCGGCGGCGGCGCCCTGGGCCACGAGGATGAGTTGGGCAACAGTCGGCGGACCACCACCGCGGGCTGCAGGCGAGGCACGCGGCGCCTCGGCCGCCGTCCGTCCCTCCTCCGCTCGTCGTCCCATCGAGGTCAGCCGCGGCCAGCACAGGCAGGACGTGATCAGGACCCGAGCGGCGGCAGTCACGGCGTGTCGCGCTCCGTGACGGCACGTGACACGACCCGTGATGCTCCCGTGACGGCCGTGCGGTCTGCGGGTGGCCCCGATAGCTGGACGGAGAGCGTCCAGCCTCGCACACACCACCCGACCGACCGACAGCCGCCGACGGCCGAGCCTGTCGCTGCAGACACCTGTTGCAGAGCTTTCCACAACAAAGGCAGCCGGCCGGCCGGCGGCGACAAGGCGGCATTTCGGCGTGACCCATTTGGAGCTAGGTGTTTATCAGCGCGCAGCAGTGTGTCGTACTGGTCCGAGTAAAAACATACCGGACGCTGAGGTCACACCCCGGGCTTTGTGGGTTCGCCACGTCTGTGCTAGAGCCGGGTAGGTCTGGCTGGCAGGCTAGAGGCGATAACACACGACGCGGGTCGAGGCGAGTCGCACCCAAAGCGAGGTTCACAAAACGTCGTGACATCACAATGGGCTGTTTCTTCCATCAGGTTCCTTGATAGACGTTTTGCCATCTCCCTGTTCTCCCTGTCCCGTGCGGGTTTGCTGAATGGGTAATCTGTACCCTCTGGGCAATGTTGCAACAGGAGGGGCGCAGCATGGCATTCCCCTCCCCCGTCCAAACTGGCGCGAGCCACCGTCGTGTGAGGAGGAACACCCGTAACCAGCTGCAGTACGGGGAACTGTGATATCACAAGTGACGTCAGAACAAGTCCGGCGGCCCGAGCACGCAGTGGGGTACTCGATTCATGGCTATATCAACTCAGCGTGCAATTTTGCAATGGTATGTCTGTTAAGAATTGCCTCGGACACTCTCATATTTCAATTCCATTTTATACACAAATAGCTACCTGTGCTCGAAAAGCAAAATTAGGGCTGCGTAACCTTTTTCATCATCCTGTTTTCCCTCAGAGATGCCACCCCATTGAAAGGTCAAAACAAGCTCTGCCATGACCTTTGCCAGCTTCAAAATAAGCTTCAAAATAAATCGGGAATGATGTTCCGAACTAGGTACAGACTAAACATAGCCGAGGCGTAGATATTTGAGTCCCAATTTTAGAACTCGAAATCAAATTATAACATACGCATTACAAAGTCACAGCTGCTGAGGTTTGGGGTACAGACAGTCGCGCTCGAGTCCCGCCTGCCGGCGCCGTGTAAAGCCCACAGCCGCCGTGCCTGCGCCGTGTATGTAAAGCCCACACCCTGCGCGAGCTTTGGGGCGCGCCGGCCGCCGGTCGGCCGGCGCCGTGCGTCACTGGCGCGCACGGCGCAGCTGCACGAAACAGATGTCCTTCGGAGGCCGCCATGGGCGCGTCACTGGCGCCGCCGGCGCCGCCGGGCCACGTCAGCCACGTCGCGAGCACGGTCGGTACGGCAAAGCACGGCATGAGCACGGCTGGGCAGCCCAAGCAGCTCAACAGCTGAGGAGGACAGCCACAAGAGAGAGGTATGTGGGGTGGTTTAGGAGGCAGAGTTTGGGAGGAGGAAGGGTGACCCAGGAGACAGACGGGCATTGCTTACCTGGCTGGGACTGAGGTTTTCCAGCGCCTGCATTACACTCTGTTCCGGCCGATGACTCTGTAACAGGAGAAAACAGCAGTCAGCAGAGTCCACCGGGAAATGACTGTTCACAGATCAACACATTTCACAGATCACAGACAACAGAGCACATATAGTCACTGACACAGCAGCTGAACAGCAATGTTTGTTCACATAGTAACCAAAACCATGACGCAAGGGCGCACTATTCCGCTGAAATTAGCCATCAGACATCCATGCAAAATGCACCATATTGTGTGTCGATATAAAACATCCATCACACGTTCAGCTTCGGGTCATAACATCGGTGTAAACATAACTACTGCCTGCAGCGCACTGCTGTAAGGCCACACCACACCATCACGTGAGTGGAGCTGCAGCATGTGACTGGCCGCGCGGCAGGGACGCACATGATCCGGACCGCAGCGGCCGAGCGTTTGTTTTTGCTGCGGGTCGGTGCCAGCTTCAACAGCCCAGCAGCGCTGCGAGCGCGCGGCGGAGCGGTCGGACGGCCGGACCGGTAAGGCCACACTGGTGGGCAGGGGATCAGGCCGGTAAACCTAATGCCTTGAGCCCGTCAGATTGTGTTCTTGAGGTCTCGTGACGTGAATACATCGTCCCCGTTCCTACACCCACCCTCCTCTACTCCTGCATACGCAGCCACCCGGTCCAGTTAGTATCAAATGAACTCGACCGTCATATATCTTCATGCATCGTCGACTCGCCCCACCGAGGCCGGCAGGCTTAATTGTAACGTAAGTACCGCCGCTGCCCATCATTAATTCAACAATCGCCACCATTATCTAATAAAACCCCGCATGTGAAGCCGCATCTGACGCGCGTATTGAGCGCCCCCATGGATGCACCCCACCGTGGCGGCGGCGTATTGGACACACTGCTAGTGGTGACTGGAGCTGGTGACTCGGGAGGTGCACGAGTGCATATGATACGGTCGTGCACGGCCCCCCCATGCTCAGTGAGGGGGGGGGGGCAGAGTGGCTACTGTGCACCACTGGAGACGAGGGGCCTGGAACCACGCGAGGGGCGGACCGCGAACGGACGGGGGTCGTTTCACCGCCGCCGTCCCCACTGCCGCCCACACTGCATCGACACTAGTGGTCGGACAATCAACGTCGGCCAATCGGGCGAGCAGCCGCATCAGCGAACGAGCACGCCACGGGTGCCGCCGACGCGCCACGACCGCCGCTGGTGCGCCACGACCGCCACCAGTGCGCCGCTGCCGCCCCACAGCAGCTGCGCGACTGCAGTGCAGCCGACCCGGCCCGACAGAGGATGCAGCCCATAATGGACTCGAGTAATCTGGCCGACAAGGAAAATGGTCCATCCGCTCGCATGACCAACCGCGAAGGAAGCGACGCCTCCGGCGGCACTTGCCTGCGTCGGATGTGCAACATTTGTATTTAACATTCCAGGGCCGGCCATAGGCGCGGGAGCCGGGGGGGGGGGCAGTGGGGGCAACTTGCCCCCCCCCCCCCAACTCTGGGGCCGTGGGGGCGGTGCCCCCACAGCTTTGAGACGGAATACCACACTTTTTTTGCAAATGTTTTCTTTTTTGTTGAAAAAGCCGAGGGGTGAAAAATAAGTGGCCTAAAACCGGTGAGAAAACTAGATTTGGGGGTACCCTAGGTTAATCTCTATTATGGTGTGCCCCCCCCCCCCCAGTTGGAAAGTAGTTCCCGCGCCCCTGGGGCCGGCCGCCCGGTAGGCGCAGAGGGTGGTACATGGGATGAGTCACTTCTTTCTCTCTTACGTTCGTGGCTGCTTAGTCACCACATAAGCCTTTCTCTATTGCTACCTCTGTGTTCACTCCACATAGTTAGGACAGACAGAGCAATGCCAGTCAGCCGAAACGTTTTTTTTTTTTCAGAAACAGGCGAACACGCCTTGAGAAGACACACACTTTGTCACCTTGTGAGTCGATATCACTTCACAAAACTCCGCGCTACAGCGTCATCAGCGCCCACACCTGCGAACGACCGCTGCGCCCCCAGCCAGCGCCGCCGACACGGCAGCCGGCATGTATTGTAGGTGTAGCGAAATATGGATAATCGATACCAGAGGCCGGGTGACGGTGACGGCAGGCGTGTCAGAGCCGGTGGCAGAGCTGGCGGCGCGCGGTGGGCGGCGGCGGGGGCGGGTGACAGCCGATATATGTCGCAGTCTACGCCCTCTGGTCAAATGCGTTCCGAGCCTGGTTTCGTCCGTGTCTCTGATGGTTTCGTGGATCTGACTTCTAGCCTGGTGTTCAGTCTTCCGTTCAGTCTCTACCTGTTGTTCTGCTCTGTCCGTCGGTCTATGATCTTTGGTCTATTGGACTCCCAGTCCACCGGTCTCAGTCTCCATTGGTTATTTGGTCTTCATCTGCCTGTCCATCCGCAGTGATTTCTCTCCTGGTACTGCACCAACAAACACTCTCAGCTCAGTCAGACGACAGGCTGGTCGCAGCTCTCAGACAGTCAGCGAGGCAAAGGGAGAGAGCTCCGCCAGCGCGGCGCCGCCAGAGCGACCATTGTTGGCACACCTGCACCTGCACGGCCGCCGACATTTCGATCGCCCACCGACCCAGATCCATCCGGGCGTGCACGAGCTCCGAGCGGCAGCGCGGGCGGCGGCGGGGGCGGCGCCTGACGTGACCTGACGCCCGCGGGCGGCGGCGGCGGCGGGGGCGGGGGCGGCGGATCAGCTGACACCGCCCGGCCGGGGTGGACCAAACAAAGGCGTCCGGAGTGGAACAATAGTGGGTGGGCGGCTGGGCATGCCGTGCCGAAACTGAGCCTCCAGTGGACAGACATCGCCGGGCCGTCTGTCTGCCATCTCACACGAACCGTGAGCCTGGACTGCCAAACCACGCGCTTCAGATATTCCGGAGCCGGCCTCGAGCACAGGCGGTTAACTATGAACCCACAGAGCTGTGTATGACGCAGTTTACCAGGGGGCTGGCTGAGGCCCATGGGCTGTTTGGACTGCCGTCACGTTGCACGGGGCTAGGCCGGGTTTACCTCAGCGGTCACGCGGAATAAACGTGCACGGAGGCTGGTAGAGCACGGCTGCATATCGGATCAGAGCACGGCCAAACTTCTGCACAACTACCGGTGGCTCGATACGGAGTACTGACTGGACAATCGATGACTATCGAAGTTATTTCCGAATAGTTGGCGGCCCGCCAACAGCGCAATGCCCCTGACATTGAGATCCAACTACATTCAACCAAATCTGACCAAAGTGCCCCTTCACAAACTGACCAAACCGATGCCGTATACGATACGATACGTGAAATGCGACCTTGAGGGCAGCCCTGAACTACATAACTCAGCACACCTCTTTGTTGCCGTTTGTGACATTGACACCCGCTGAGCACGAAAACGACGTCATCGCGAGCCACGTCAAAGCTCGGCAGATCAATGAGGGCACAACAAAGCGCCGGCGGGGCTCGGGGAGCGGCCAAAAATCAATGCGCGCCCCGGCCGAACTGTTGCGGTGGCCGGTGTATCGGCCGGCTGTTTGCCTGCGCAGGGGGACGACACTAATCCATAGTCGGCGACCGGCGCGTCCCCCGGCTCCCCGCGGGTCGCGGCGGCGCTCAGAGTCGCGCGCGACGGCCCGTCGGAGGCGGCGACACCCTATCCACCGGCGCAGCGGCGGGCGCGCGTCGCCGGCAACGAAAATCAATGTACGCGGTCCGAGCGGGATCCCACCCGGGCCCGGTCCCAACGACGAAATGGTACACCGCCACGGAGCTAGTTATCTGAACGGAGCGGTGCGTTACAAACATTGAGATAATGAAGACAGATTGACCTAGCTTTGACGAGTGACCTTTGCATTGATGAATATCGAAACACGTGTGCTCGAGTTGGAGCTGAAAATACAACTCTCACGTATACAAATCCCGAACAACTCCTCCTCTGCACCAGCATCCGTCCATGTCTCGTTGAGTGACCGAGACAGCGTCACGCAGTGCCCCGGCCGAGCGACGGGGACCGGCAGTCGACGGAGGGAGCCTGTTTCAGGCAGCTCGAGTCTCGATCAGATGATCGGGCAGGGTTCAGCGTCCGCCGGAGTCAATTCCCCCGCCGCGCCGGAGAGCTCTAAATGGAATCCTGGAGATGGCGATCAGGATCAGTACCGGTTCGCAGTCTGAGGCTCGCCTCAGCAACTCGGCCGGGCTGAGGCGAACTTCCCAGGCATGGGAGGATTGCAATAGCCAAACCTCGGGTCCACCACGACTCGTGTTGGCAGTTAAGTTTGGGCACGACACGGATAGACCACATGACTGCGGGTCGAGCTCCCGGTCACGGCTGGGAGTAGGAGAGGCAGCGCAGCGGAGGCGACTGTATTGACCCGACCCAGCGCCACCTGCGGACGATCGGTGACAGACACACCGGTAATGGACCCCGGCCGACGACAGAGCAGATGGTCCGGGATGGTCCGTGGTGGTCCCCCGGGCAGTTCTTGCGCATGGGCTAATATCCCGGATGGTCCGGTTTGGTTTGTGGAGGGCCCGGACGGCTCCGATACCCACTGGTTTCTGATAGGACTGGGAAGAATGTCACGTCCCTCCAACTCCGGCATGGACTCCGACCAAAACGTCCCGGCTCTCCCACTGAAGGTCCGGTACTTCAGTCATGCTGTGGGCTCCGGTTAAAATACCTACTCCTCGTCAGGATAGATTGATGTACGGTCATAGGCTAGACCAGCATCGGGCTGCGACATACAGTTAGTTAGCCGGGTTGGCTGCCACACCGAGCAGAGAAAAGTCCTGTCAGAGCTATGACCCGGGTAAGTAAGAAAAGCTGGCAGCCGATTTAGCTCTTTTTAGTGTCAGCACTTCATCGGTGCACGAAACACTGACGTCATCGACAAAGCCTTCCAGGACGGAGCGGTGTCATCCTAGGGGGAGGGTTCTGAGCTCAGAATGGATGAAAGTTCCAAAGAACAGCGAAGTGCGGCTAGCCGCACATCAGGCATTACACCAAAGAACTCGACAATATATCGCAGGTCGTCCCGCGTTAGTTCAATCA